ATAGGCGAAAATATACATTGCATTTGGCGTATGTTTGAAACCACCAAAAGAGGTCTGGTCTGTCTGGTAGAACTGGGCATCTGAGGCCTAAAATAGGCCATTTTCCCTTTAATTACAATTTTGAATAATTTAGAACAAATTGATATTTTTTTAATCATAAATTCGAAAGCAAGTTCGAAAAGTTTTGAAAATAAAATTTCAAATTTAGATTTTTTTAAAAATATTCTTATAATTTTATTGATGTTTAGATTAGAACTATAGATGATTTTTTTTTTTATGTACTGATTATTCAATATTAAAAATAAATACATTCCGTTTGAAGCAAGGTACCTTAAATTACTTTTCTTCAAACAAAATATTTAACTTCTGTTTTGTTTTAGGTCATGTTTGCCTAATCTCTATCTTAAATTCAATAATTTGGTGTTTCAGTTAAATGTAGGTTAGGACGCATATATTTATGATTCGGTAAAATTCGAAATTTCAGTTGTTAAATTGAGGTATACCCTTCCTAAAATATAAGTTCCCGGCAGTCCTTAAAACGAAATTTATTTATTTAAAATGCAAATTTTCTTTACAAAATTATAAGAAAATTTTTTGTTGATAATTTATTTCAATATCAGGATTTATCAGAAATGTAGCAACATTATGCTCATCATTATTAGCTCTTATAATTAAACCTCTTCAGGACTCGAGAAAGGAGGGGAAAGAATGCTTCTCCAGGCCCGCACGCTCCTAGTATAAACATAATAAGGAGTATAATTTGTCTAAGCTAAGAACTCCTCCCGCCACGAAGTCTGAAGCCGTCTGGTGCTATGGAAACAAGAAAGGTGCATTTTAGGGAGGGTAGCTTCACTCTAGGACTGACACAATAGACCCTTTCTCTCCCCGACTCGAGCCGAAATTACTTCAAAACAGTGACCCCGCACCCCTACTTGAAATAGTTATGCCTCGTTACCGTGGTTACAGCCACAAGTCCAGACGAATGTCTGGAGGTGTTCTCATTTTAGACAAACTATGCCTATATGTATAGTTTGTCTATGGAAAGAACTCCCCTCGCCACAAATTCTAAGGACGTCTGCTGCAATGGAAGCAAGAAATAGCGCATTTCAAACTTCTTTCTCCCCAGATTCCCTTTCTCTGTCCAACCAGAGTCCAAACCAGTCTTAAACAATGCCCAACACCCCACTCCTACTTGAAATAATTAAACCTCGTAACCATAGTAACCGCCACCACGCCAGGCGAATGGGTGTGGGAGTTCTTCAAATAGACAATCTCTATTTATACGAGAACATCATATTGAGATCACGTCCCTGTGATCTTAGGAGAGCTAGAGTATGAAAGACTCGTTTTATATATCCATGATACCGTGTGCCGAGAAGGGAGAATCGCTCGATCACGTATATGTTGCGTAGTCGGCGTGACTGGTGGTAGAATAAAAGATTACGCACAAGATGAAACGACAAAAAATTAAAAGCTAAGATATTTTTTTTTTAAATTTTTAAAATGGTCAAAAGAAAAATGAATAGTACGGTGTGCAAAAAAGCAAACGGACCACCCTAAATAACTTTTGGTCTAAAAATTGGATCCTCAAGCTCTAGTTCTATTGTAGTGATAACAGAAGGGGTAACCTCAAATATGCTAATCATTTAGTACCGAAGTTCTTTTAAGTTCTGAAATCAGACACAAAAACGGACTCTGACCTTTCTTCCGACGGGTTCGGATTTCTGACCTCTGAAATATAGGAGATAGCCACAATCTGGGAAATAGGATCTAATAGCTTGGTCAGGAGATCTGGCCAAAGTTTAAACCCCTTAATATTAATTTTACTTTTTTGCGTATTTAAGTGATTTTTAAAAAATCGTATTTTTAAAAAATTCAATTTCTTACGAAGTATTCGACTGATTTTACTTACATTTTATGTTTCGCCATTTTAAAATAGCATTCTCTAAAATGATGCAAAACATTGTCTACCCTACAACTCAAAATATTAACGACGATGATTAAATGAAATAATAAAAAATTAATAAATATTTACTTAAAGTCATATTTTGCTTAGAATTGTCTTTGGATAAACGAATTTTATTATTGCGTACAACATTTTTTCAATTCTCTTAAAAAGCTCTTGAGATATGGTGATATACACAAAAATTAAACTTAACATTTAGGGAAAATTTTGAGCAGCTCCCCTGACTAAACCAATGGAACCCTATTTCCTAGATTGCGGCAACCCCCTATATTTCGGGGATCGGAAATCCAAATCTGGCGATATGTTTATTCAGAAAAAGTACGCTATTGTCTCTGATTTCGTAACTTAAAATATAGCCTATGCTAATAAATTAGCATGATTGAAGTCACCCCCTCAAACCTTTAGTACTGGAACGCGAAGAACCGTTTATTAAATAAAAAGTTATTCATGATGGTCCTTTAATTTTTTTGCCCACTGCCCTGCATATAAGGCAGTACTTTTACTTTCGTTACTTGTACCGGCGGTACAAGTAAAACGTACGTACTTTTACTTGTACTTCGTTACTTTTTAAATTTAGTACTTTTACTTGTACTTTCGTTACTTTTTTAGGGAAAAAGTGCAAGTATTTGTAACGGAAATGTCGAATGAAATCGTTACTTTTTTCTAAAACTCGGTAAGCTTTCCAAAGAGAAAAAAAATACTTTCGAAATGCAATTATTTTGCAAAATGAATAAAAATATTAATTATCAAGTTATTTTCATTCATTTTCGAGTTTTATGCATTTGTTTAATACAGTTTAAATAAAAAATGTTTGATTTTGTTATTATGTTTTTCAATTTTCTTTTTGAACTAACTAATAATACATTTTTGTCGAATATATTTTTACCTAGTACATTTTTTACTAAAATTATGTTTATGCCCGACCTTGTCAAACAACGCCCAGTCAAATCTCTAAGAACTTCAGAGCTATTTGTGCTATTGAAAACAATTATAATTACTATTATAACTCTTAAAAACTCGAGGGTATTAATTTAGCCGCTGATACTAAAACTCGTTTACAAATTTTAATTATTCCGTTAGGCAGAAATGTTCGGAAAATGATTTTCTCGCATGACTTCAGCATTAGCCATTGTTACAAATAAAACTGTAAACTGTTCTGTTTCAGCTTATACTGCACATTCAATTATTTTTTACTAGCTCAAAGATCACAAAGCTATCTGAAACTCCGTGTTTGCTTTGTTTATGTTTGTGCTTTTAAAGCGCGTTTCTATAGAGTAAAACAATTTTAAATCAATGGTAATCTAAATAAATAAAAATAATAAACTAAAAATTAAAATCAATAGATAAAATTTCTTTTTCTTGCAAATCCATATATTTGATTTCAAAATTATATTATACGATTATATTATAATATTCTTCCGAATTTAAAAATAAATGAATGTCCATAACTTTCAAAATTAAAAATAATTAAATAAATAACAAAAATTTTGCAAAAACATTAAAGAACATAAGAATATGATTCAATAAAATTTTAGGTCATTTTGAATTTTCGATTTCCTAGAAATGTACTTTTAAATCGTTACTTTTTTTGTTTAGTACTTGTACTTTTACTTGTACTTTTTGCTCGTTACTTTTTAAAATAAGAACTTTTTACTTTTTACTCGTTACTTTTTTAAAAAATACTTGTACTCTTACTCGTTACTTCTTAAAAGTAACGTTGCCATATATGCTGCCCTGTATAGAATTAAAATAATATTTTCACTGAATGAAGTGCAACTCTTAAATATATATTACTCGTAAAGAAAATAAAGAAAGAACGTGAAAAGATTACCATCTGTGTACTAATAATCTCTTCATTTCATGTTAAAACTACATTTTACTCTCAACTTTTTTTTTCCTTTTTTGTATCTCGCTTCATGGCCGAGTGGTTAGAGTGCCTGACTGCTGCGCCTATGTTTGCGGGTTCGAATCCCGCTCAGGGCATACATGTTTCTATCTCTCTCTCTGTGTGTGTGTGTGTTCTATGTCCTTTCTTCTGTGTGAATGAAACCCGCCCTATAAACGGGTTTGTGGTTGTATGACGTGGGCGACGCTACTCCACCGCCGTGGCTTAGCCATAGGTGATCCCTGGGTAACGATAAGAGAGTAGCATTTCTGAGGCCAATGGGAAATAGACTCAAGTGCCCGCCATTAACCAACAAAAAAAAATTCACGTGCAGGTCGTTGGGCTACCGAAGCAGGGGTGTCATCCCCTCTGCAGAGGATTAAGCTTGTCTTCGGATCATCCTCAGGGATGTTTCCCAGACCGTCACCAATAGCCCATTATACAGCTCTAGTGCGACGTAAATTAACTACAACAACAACATAACCAAAAAAAAAATATATCTCGCTTCATTCTCTATTTGTTTTTCTGACTTAAGTTCTTCCATTTTTCTATCAATTCTCCATACTCCAGGAATCCTTTTTTTTTTTCACTGTCCTACAAAAACCCTTTATCTTAAAAATTAAAACCCAATCAGTTAAGGATAAAGATTCAATTAAAACTGAAATATCTTAAAACCAATCCTAAATTATAAAAGGAAGCTCATTGACCCCCCCCCCCACTTTAAATCACGGTCATGAATGGAGCTCAAAACGCGTTTATTGGTATAAAATAGCTAAGTTATGCTGTTTGAAGTAAAAATTTACCAAGCCAATTAAAAAAAAAAAAACTTAGCTTGGATGTAGAAGGTTTTTTTGTTCCCCCCCCCCACATTTAAGACAATGCTTTTAGGGATTTCATTTTAAAAAAATGAATAAATAAAAACAGTTTCCAAGAAATTCTTTACTGTTTTCAAATTAGAGATTGTAAAGTTACCTTGCATTCCTTGAAAGTATAACAATCCATCTTGAAAAATAAAATAAAAACTCAAGCAATAAAGTTTCCCAAAAGGTCTTTCTTTAGAATCCAGCACTCTATTTAAACGACGTTTCACATTAATAAAGTACTTTAAGAAAGACACTAATTGTTACAATAACTTAAATCTCCACTTACCGTCCCATTAGATGAAGGGCAACACACCAAAAGTAAAAATCTGCTTTATGAATTCGAGTAAATAGAACACTTACACGTGTCTAACCACGATTTTAAATATACAATGGCCGGTGATACTCGTGTCAAAGATACGCTCACCAAATAATTCCTATAATATTGAACTGTAACTTATAAATAACAGGTCTTGTTATCTAAGCTGATAACAGAAAAAGAAACTATCGGCCATTTACGTCTCGTACACACTCTCAAAATTTCAGGGCTGAAAATGTTTCAGAAACTTCATTTTTTATCTAACGCGGAAAACCACTCCGAATCGTGTAAAACTTTTTACATCAATTTAAAAAGCAATATTTATCTTTATTATGTAACGTAAATTTAGTTAACATAAAACGAAATTAACTTTTTTAACTAATTAATAAAGAAAATTGTTCTTTCTTTTTTATAATATTAGAGGTAAGGACGAGTCTAAAAAGTCAAAGCATCTAAAATTCTTTCACCGTTTTGCGGATACGTTGTCAACTAATTTTATAACTTTAAATTGATATTTTCTGCCACCACAATGTGATAAAAATAGTGAGTTTTTTTCTAAAAATGCTTAAAATTCAAAAAATTATGAATAAAAAACTAATCATAGGCTTTGTCAATTGACTAGCAGTCAGGGACCGCAGAACCTGAGGGGGCAGAAGGGGATTTAGCCCCCCTCACATTTTATAAATAAAGGAGCACAGCCCCTTCTAACATGGCAATTTTTCATTCAATATTTGCGTAGTTAAATTTATAATTAAAATAAAAAATAGATAATTTTGTATCTGAATCCTTAAAAAAATTTCTCTGTTTCAAGCGAGCTTAAACATTTTCTTGGTGAAAACTCCAGGTAAATAATTTATTTTATTAATTTTTATTTTAATTTTAAAACCATTCGAAGTTAAAATTGCAAGTTCGAATTCTTGATTGCCATTCTCTTGTGAAGTTCAGATTAGGTTAATATATATATATATATATANGTGCACATATTTCTTAACTGAAATAGCATCTCCAAAATTTTTTTAATTTTAATTAATATCTTCTGTCATCTCAGCGTCATCGAGCTTGGATTGGTTCATATTCTTGGATTTTATTTTATTTTATATTTTGTATCCGTTGTTGAACAGCCGACTCAATTTTGGGTTTACGACTACTAATGTTCAACACCTTAACCTTGTAATTTTAAACCAATTCAGAAGACAAGGAAAATCCTGGATCAGTACCCATAGAGGTTTGATTTGTCATGGGAACATGGAGGACTTTGCGACTCGACAGATTTACCGTGCATCAGTCACCATTTACAACACTGGGAGTCTTCGGCTGGCGGGGATCGAACTCACGAACTCTTGGACATGAGCCCAGTGCCCTACCAACCAGGCTTTCAATGTCCTTGAGGTGTAAGTTTAATTCTCAAATTTTCTCAGGTTTTTCATGGTACCTTTTATAAGCTACCGCAAGTCAATCAACAGAATCTATGTTTTTTTTCTTTTTCATAATTTTAAGCATTTTTAAACGATTTTTCACAACTTCTGACCCAATGAGGTCGAAGATATAATAACTCAGAAGAATAAGATTTTGCATAATTTTTAATAATGATACCAGTCAGCTTTTTTGTCATACAGCTAAATCATGTAAGACACAACATTCAAACATTCTTTATCTTTATGAAGAAAAAAAAATTAACGATATTATTTTGCTTGAAATAATTAGTTTTTTACCGTACTTTCACTTACTTTAATCGTGAACATTAAGTATGAGGTAAGAGTCTTATAAGTTAGACACTTTTTTCAATGTTCTTTTATTCATTTATTTATATTTTATTTTATTTTTAATAGTGAAAAAGAGTATTCCAGGGATGTCAATTCTCGTGTTAAGGGCATCTAAGGAAGGAGTTTGACCGAGTATTCACACAAATCTGTAGTCTGGTGGCAAATATGTGATTAACTCGCACCATCGCCTGCCCAGAATGACTCAAGAAACTAATATTATAGTGTTTTATGTAACATAATCGTTACTCATACACTCCTCGACCCATCTTATCAAAATAATAATAATATTAAATAAATAAAAAAATAAACAAATTGAAAATTTCCTTTCCTTTTCTTCCCTGCATTTACAAGGTCTTAATTTAGCTTTTTTTTTCGTAAAAAAGGCTTAATTTAAAGTATTTTTTGAATTATATGTACTACATTGTTTAAAAATTGTATGCTCTCTATTATAATTTTTTGCATTATATTGTATTGTATTACATTGTATTGTATTGTAATTATATGTACTTTGAATTAGATGTACTATTTCGTATCCCTTTATCTATGTTTCCGAGAATTTACATTCAAAAAGTAATAGAGCAAATATATTCCTTTTGATTAAAGTCCAATGTCGTTTGAAAAGATTTCGGAAAAAAAAAGAAAAAAAGTGAAGAAGGAAAGCGCATTATTATGTGGCTTTTGAATTATATTTACTATTATAAAAAAATATTAAAAAAGTATAAAATATGGTTCTGATAGAACATTAAGAATGTTTTTAAAACTCTTTCACTGAAGACAATGTAAATGCAAAAGCTTCAAGGCTTAAACTGAAAGGAAAGTTATTAAACTATACCTACCATCTTGTCGAAAAGAATTATTTGAGTATTAAAACGGGAAATAAAGGCTTAAATACTTAAAAAGTTATTAAACGTTTTGAAAACTCCCCAATTTAGCGAGATTTTTCCACCTTCATAAAATTTAATAAATCAATGAATAAATGTCGATTTTTGTACCCAAACAATGCAGCGTTAAAGTAATTTTTAGATGTTAAAAAAGTCAAATCGAATAAGCTTTTCATTTTTGCAAAATAGTGGCTTTTATTTATTATTATTATTATTTTTTTTTGTACCATTTCTATAATTATCATAAAGAAAGCTGATTAAAGATGGACAAACCCTAACTCTTACAAGCTCACTACAGTAATAAAAATAGCATATTATTTTATTGTTGTGACGTTATATACTAATGAGAACATAGCTTTCTGATATACAGTCTTAAAAATAACAAATCCACAAAATGTGACAGATTTAATTTAAAATTTCGTTCCTTGAAACAAAATGTCAGTGTAAGAAATAGTAAAATTTTTGAGAAAATATTTTTTTTCTCTAAAAATACAGACAGTAAATTGTATAGCTAACTGCTATATTTGCAGAGGCGGAAAGTCACTGTGACCTCCCAATAATTTTTTCATCTGGGAGTTTTTTTTTTTTTCTTCTGAGATTAGGTAAATTTAGACAATCGTCTTGATTGTCGATGAAATCTCTATAAATGGAACTATAAAACATTCGTAATGTATGCAATAAAAAAATGCGTAAAACCCTAATCCAGTGATTCTCAACCTTTTTTTTGTGACGGCACACTTTTAACGATTTCGAAATTTGACGGCACACAATGAAAAAAATTAGGTTAAAAGTTATTTACTTAACTATAATACACTGTGTTAAATAGTTTGTGATAATAATTTTGAATGTGAAATAAAATAATATGTACTACAAAAGCACATTTATTAAGGGATTAATTATTTCTTTCGACTAATTTTTATTAGTTATTAACAGTTATTTATGTTTTTTGCTGGTTATTAAATGTTTGCTTGTTTTCTATAGCTAGTTTTTTTTGCTGATTATTAATTCTTGTCAACTAGTGTTTTTGCTGGTTATTAATTCTTGTCAACTAGTGTTTTTGCTGATTATTAATTGTTAGCTTATTTTTGCTAGTTTTTTTATAACCTTTGATTGCATAGCTTACTTTAATTATTAGCTTTTATTTAAGTTTGAAAGTTGATATTTAGCTTGCTCTCCTTTGATAATTAATAATTTTAATGATCAATAAATTTTCTACTTAAAAAAGCATTATAATTTTTATTGTATCATTTCTAATATTTGGCGGCACATTTTAAGAATTCGGCGGCACACAAAAGTGCCGCGGCACAGTGGTTGAGAATCACTGCCCTAATCCCTTGTAAATTCTCGAAAATAATTGAACATTTTGAAAAAATTATTTTTCAGCCGCCTAAAAAAAACGATTCTTAAATGTTGTGATATAAACAAACGTTCTTTTAACTAGCAAGAAACTCAAAAGATAACTTTCAACTACTACGGAATTTCCAAATTTTTGAAAAACATCTTTCTTAGTGGTAGTCAGTTTAGGAATTGATTATTTAATAAATTAGAATCAAAAGAATTTCGTCTCTCACTTCATATAAATAAATAAAAATAAACATATATATGAATCATCAATCAAATTATTTATCATTATCTCAGAAAGTTATTTTAAATTATTACAGATTATTTTCAATGCTTTTCTTTTATGCACCTTTTTGATTTTATAAATAAAAAAAATATAAATGTTGCAAAGGTAAACAAAAATCATTTTTAAAATAAAACTATCTACCTCTTAATATAAATAAAAGCACGCTTCTCCATTGTTCTCGGATAAAAAAAAGTGAAAAATTCATTCCTAAAAAGTTGTATCAATCATGATGCGCATTGATACAAGAAGAGGAAATGACGTCACGAACAAAACCTCGGAGGAACTTTGACTTTTGACAGATAATGAAAAGTGCATGTATTTGTGATAGTGATGTTCATTATTATAGTGTTTAAAATTCTGAATGATCTGTACTTTATTTGTTAACTTTTAAAGACCTTTTAAAAGTATAAACAGGTAAGAAAACGATTCAATTTTATCGCCCTCTACGACAGTAGAAGAATTTCACCCACTTGTTAACTCGAAGTTCTAGGCAGCATGCTGTTTAGCTGCTTATTTTCAATGGTGTTTTTCTGCTTTATTACCAGAGGGCGCAACTAGCTGGTATTTGATTTCTTTGCCTTTCCAGCTTGAAATGATTAATGAATTAATGTTTAGTTTTAATTATAACTCTTAAAATTTGAATTTATCTCCTACTCTTACATTTGATTTAGAAGAGAAGTCAGCATTTTTCAGAATCATTATTTTTTTCAACTTCATAACAACGGTTTCACTCACAAAAATTTTATTATTAATGAATGATTAACTGCATGTGAACTGTTATTGAAAACTTTTATTGATAATTACTTGCGTTTATGTAGAAAAGTAGTATTTGCAATTTGTTCCTCAAACATGAGAGGTAATTTTTGCCTAAAAAACTTTTAACTTCAAAAACGTTTTCCGACAAATATATAAAAGAATGTGGAAGTCTTAAATGCTGAAAAAAGAACTTAACATCCTGTGAAACTTTTGTAGAAAAAGTTTATCTGTATTTGCGAATATCTTTTTAATATGCTCCAATATATATATATATATATATATATATAGGGAACAACCTTTTTAAATAAAACTTCTGATTTACGGACCAACCCCAAAAATTTCCTATCCGTCCTATTAAAACAATTGAACATCAAATTCCTCAAATTGTTTCTAACAAACCACAACCTATGGTCCTCGGGCCAAAAGTAGCCTCAAAGCTCTTCTTACTAGGTACCAGAACTGCCTAAAATATTAACAAAAATATAAAAGAAAAAGAGTAACAAAAAAGTTACTGATCTAATTTAAAACCTTTCTCTTAGTCGGAATGTGACAATTTTAGTATCATGAAAATTCAGTTTTATGAAAGTTCTATTTAAGCAATTTGTTCAGACTCAGAATTTGAAGTGAAATGTATATGCTTATTTGTAAATGAACTAGAACATGAAAAAATAAGAAGTACACAAATAGAAAAATTTCAAAATTCAGCAGCAAACATTTATCTGATAGTGTTCTGAATTTTATTGAAAGTTAAATTTTAAGATAATTGTAAATTTAAGTTATCCTTTTTGCTGTACTTCAATGCCTATTAAATTTACGATAATTTGATCTAATAAGTATATTTCTTTAAATTTATTCACAATAATTATTTTTATTATCTGCACAGGTACAAATGATTAAATATAGGCTTACAACTTACTCCCATTATTTTCAAACAAAATCTAAGTATTCCTCGCATTTTTTAAATTACAGCATTAATTACGACTTTGGCCCCCCCCCCCCAACTTGGTATTTTGTGGTCCATTTCTCAAAAATGGTTGTGCTTCCCTGGTTTATAGTTAAACGATACTTTGATTGGATGCCTATAAATATAAAAATGATGTACCGAAAACTGAAACTTTTCAACAATTATTATGTTGCATAAATATATTAATTCAATGATTGAAACTAATTCTAGAAGTCTTCGAATTTTTTCATTTTTGAAATTTTGCAAGGAAAAAAAAAAGGTTTTTACTACTTAGAAATTTTTTTTTTTCTCAAATGAAATTTTTTGTACTTCATGCGTTTTTGTGTAATATATTTTATGTAATAAATATGTTAATGATAATGTATTCTATTTTGAACTTATGTTGTTCGGAGCTTTAGTTCTATAAAGATAACATTCAGACTGACTTTCATATCAGACAGCAGACAACTGTTTTATAAAGTAATTTTTTATTTATTACTATTTTAAGTATCTTTCAGTATCATTACAGTTTTTCAACGAAGTAATAGAGGAAAAAACGAGTGCATTAATTTTATTCTGTGCATTTATTTATTTTCCTTTTGTGAAAACATATTTTACCCGTCTTTTTGCGAAGGTTAACATAGGACGTTTAAATTTAAATTGTTCGCTAATTTTATCAAATCAATATGTAATCTTAGAATTCTTTTGTTTAGTAGTCAGATTTTATCTTGTTTCTAAGTAAATGCAAACGATAATAGAATTTTAATTCCTGGGCGAAAATTCCGAAACTGGTTGGATTAGCTTAAGATCAAGTACACGCATATTACAAATTCAAACATTTCTTTGTCCTTCGCTTTAAGAAATGATTGTTTTCATTTTTACCGTCCGAAGAAAGGAAAATATAACAAATTGTGGAAGAATGTCGTTTATATTCCCATCGTATTCTTTTTTTCTTTTAGTTCTTGTCATGAAAATTGGTAATTGTTAGCTTCCCAGTGACCTTGTTCCGATTTATTCTTATACTCCGTAAAAGGTAATTATCGTGTTTTATTTTACGGAAACGTAATGTTCGATTAAAAAGTAATTATTTTGAATCATTTACCGAACTCTGACCTTTTTATGTTGCAGTTAAATGTATTGCTCGATTAAGATATATTGAAATAGCGGAACCATGATTTTTATTTTGAAATTTAACAATATTTAAATGGCATTTTAAAATTTTTTAAATTGGAATGTTATATCTTAGCGGAGAAGCTTTACTAAGTCTTTGTAACATAGAAATCAAAATTATTTTGAAAGACAAAAAAAATATATTTATTTTTTGAAACAATTTCGTGATATAAGTCTAGATTTTTGGGAGAAAAATAGTCATAATTTCTTAAAAGGAAAAAATGTACTTTACGAATTTATTTTGTGACATTGAAGCAAAATTATTCTGCAGGACCAATGTAAAAACATACTTTAAGACACAATGTATGCACAGAAGTCAATATTTTCGTGACATAGAAATTAAAATTATTTTCTAAGACCAAAGTAAGAGCATACTTTACGACACAAAGCTTGCACATAAGTCTAGATCAAGCGGTTCCCAAAAGGTGTTCCGTGGAACTCTAGGATCACAGGGGTTCCAAGAAATAAAACTTTTTTAAAAACCATTCCTGTTTTTTGAATCCTGTGATTAGATTTATATTCAATCAACAATCAATTATTTATTTAATATCTCCATCATTTTTACGAAATTGCTTCTGCAAAATGTGAGTTAAAAAATACTATTATTTTAGCGGCACTATTTATTTTAATAACAATATGTTGAAAAAAATATTAAATAGATTGGCATGTATCAAAAAAAAATTTCATTAATATTTCCTGTTGAACTTTTCAAATTAAAGAGGAAAACAATATTCAACAATAAAGATAACCATTCTCAACATTTGTAGCAATTGATTCAACGATCTTAATTCATTTTCATTTTAACAATAATTCAGCTTATTTTATTCATTTTCATCTTATGCTAAAGAGATTCAAAGTTAAACATGCCGCTCCAGAGCTGTGAATTCAAATGGTTAACATTAAATCTAATTTTAAAACTATTATTTATAAAAAGATGAAAAAATTAACATTAATATTTTTAAAATTAACAGGAATATTTAACTTTTTTCTTTCTTCTTTGCTTTCTGTACTTTAAATTATACCGTACTTTTAATTATACCGTTAATTTATTGAAAATTCTTACTGTCCAATAATTTTATGTTTGATCATTTTATTATCATTATATGTTTTTTTTCAAGTTAAAAAAAGAATTATTTTCTATTTACTGCTAATTAGAGCGTAAAATAACTTCGAAATTAATTACTTTAAAAATTCTAAGCTGTTGTAACGTCGTGCTTTTGACGATAAAAAGCAAAAATATAAAAATAATTCATTAAAATTTTTTTGAAAAATAATAAACTTTGAAAAGCGAAAAAACATTTACCTCAACTTCCTAGTGTAATTTTCTTTTCATGTAAAATACCTAAGCAAAGTATTATTCTTGTTATAAAATTGGTTAGAAATATTTTTCTCAATAAATTTCTGATTTAATAACTGCTTTCATAACATGTAGTTTATAGCGTTAAATAAGTATTTGTTTTTCGACACAAAATAAAACTATTACTTTTAAATTGGAATCAATATTTTTAAAAAAAAATCTGTAAGTTTTTACTTATCTTCTCACCACCGCTCTAGAAGTCTTCAACGCCCATTGGGGAGTGATAGCAACCATGTGAGGAGTCTATTGTCCAGATTTTTCGTGGCATTGAAATTAAAATTATTTTGTGTACTAAAGAAAAATCGTACTTAACGTTGCAATGTTTACGCGTAGGTCTAGATCAGTGGTTTCTGTGAAATTTAACATACCTACGGTGCCAAAAAATTTATTTCTCATGTTTTGCACCCAAAAAAATATTTATTCTAATACAAAAATAATCGTGTATGTTGCTCTTTTTTATTTAGTTTTTTTTTTTTTTTTTTGTATTTTGTGAGTATAATTTAGCATGTGCGTATCAGAAATTTTTTCGAAGAAATTCTCCCATTTAACTTTTTGAAACCACTCATTTTGGGCGAAATTATTTATATTAGTAAATTTTAAAACCCATAAGAGAGGGAATGAATATCATGTTTTATTTTAATTCCTTGAATTGAATATCGTATGAGCGGAAAAGAAGGAAAAAAAATAATTTTAGATGATTGAGAATTTTTTTTTGTTGCGATAATTCCTATAACGTCGAAAAAAATGTTAATTTATCATAGAATTAAATTTGAAAGAAGGAAAAATCTTGTCACTAACAAGGGAAACTAGGGAAGTGTGACTCGCCATTTTTGAAATAAACTAGTGGGATGTATGCCTTATGAGGAATAATTGTAGGGGGCAACATTCGTTTCGGCCCATAGAAGATCCTATGAGAGATAAAAAATAATTCAATATATAGAAAAATCGGCGTTTTATTACTTCAATGCAGACTATTAGTTAATGCAATTGTCTCATACTCCAATTAATTTTGTGGTATATTCACGTACTATATAATGCATATTTATTGTCAAAATTGATTTCGAAAATTTTATATATCTGTAGTTTTTCAGAAAAAACTGTTAGGTTAATTTTGAAAGAAAATTGACATCAAATTTTTTCAATTTTTTTTTTCCAAAAATCTTTCCAAATTAAGTGGAGTATGTAATTGCAAATCAATTAATTAATTAATAATCAATTAACAATTTATTAATAAACAACTAATTAATAATTAATTTTCTGATCAATTTATTAATTACCAAATTAATTAATTATCCAATTAATTACAAATTAATTGGATTATGAGACAATTACAATAACTAATAGTCTGCATTGAAGTAATAAAATATCGATTTTTCTATATATTGAATTATTTTTTATCTCTTACAGGACCTTCTATGGGCCGAAACGAATGTTAATTAATTTATTAATTTGAAAATTAATTAATTATCCAATTAATTGGATTATGAGAGAATTACAATAAGTAATAGTCTGCATTGAAGTAATAAAATACCGATTTTTCTATATATTGAATTATTTTTTATCTCTCACAGGACCTTCTATGGGCCGAAACAGATGTTACCCCCTAAAATTATTCCTCATAAGGCATATATCCTACTAGTTTATTTCAAAATTGGCGAGTCACACTTCCCTAGTTTCCCTTGTAAGTTTCTGATTAAGAGAAGATTCAAAGTGATACGTAACAAGCTTTATTTCTAATGCTTGTTATTTTTCTTTTTAATATTAAAAAAACTTTGGTAAAAATCTGACAGTAACATTTAATGTTCATTCAGGTATAAAAGAGTCCCATATAAAATTTTGATTAAGTTGTAGCCCGCCATTTGACTGGTGCTTTTAATTGCGGCCCCCGGCCACATGTAAGTTGGATGCCCCTGGTCTAGATTTTCATATTGAAATCGAAATAATTTTGCAGAAAAAAGAAGAAGCATACTTAAACCTTTTGCCTCCCCGCCTAATAGCACAAGCCATTCAGGACCATCAGTTTTACCAGACGAAACAATTTTCGTGCAGAAGAGTCTATATTTTCGCGACATAAAAGTCTAATTATTAATTGACTGTTTCCTGTATTGCAAAACTATGTGTAAATGTTTTCGACAAGAAATATTCTGAAATGATCTTCCAAATTTTTCACAACTTAAAGTCTACAACTGTAGAACATTTTGTTATAAATTCTCTACTAAAAATGTTTCCTCTATTATACAAAAATGATTTTAAAGAATTGTAAAATTATGCTTTAAAATTTTCCACTAAAAATAATAATAGCAGTTTTGGGCCTCAACATGGAAGTTACCATATTTTAAATATCTCCCGTTTCTTCTTTCACAAAAGCGATTTCTTTAATTTGTCATTCTTTATAACTTACAAGATGACTCTGCGTTATCAATCCTAATTCCTGACGAATATTATAACTCAATTTAATTTGTCTACAGGCAATATGTCTACCTCTTACAGTCATTTGTTGGGCACTTTTCCAGGGGCACAATTAAGCCAACGTTGCTCCCACAGTAACGACAGATAATGAAAGAACATCCATGCCTTGCACGGGTTTCGAATCCAGAACCTTTCTGATGCAAGGCCATTTCCCTGACCCCTTCACAGGCCGGTATGTAAAAATGTTTAGCATGTAAAAATAAATATTGGGACCATCATATTAGAAGCATATGATGGTATACTCTTAAAATATACTCTTTTTTTCCCCTTCAAATTATCGGGTTTTTACCTACTTAATTAATAGGTATACATGCTAAAATATGCTTGTTAATTGGTGCTAACCATTTAGTTACGAAATTCGACACAAAAAAATTCCTTCTTTGAAAGAGCATTCCTATTCGAGTTACAAATCGCAGTATAATATCAGTAACAACAGATTTAATAATTACCATTTAATAATAAAGACATTTAAATATAATTAACGAAATAAAAGAGCGGCCGAAATATTAAAAAGAAAATAGAGGAAATACTAATAGAGGAAAAACGCGCACCGTCCCTCTTCATCTACTCCTCTCGTGCTTAATTATTTTATTTTTATAATTTTTTTTTTTTTTTTTTTTTTTTTTTTTTTTTTTTTTTTTTTTTTTTTTTTNAACTTCTTATCCTTGTAATTTTGAAACCAATCCAGAAGACAAGGGAACTCCTAGATCAAGTATCGGGAGAAATTGTCTTCGAGGAGATTATTTTGATGGAATTAACTCGGATTTGCGTTACATGGAGAGGAAAACCACGAAAATTTTCCACAGTTAGCTTGATGGCAAGGGGACTCTAACCCTTGGTCCGTCTACCACTGAGGATATTTTACATCAGTACTGTGACTGATGCAAGCCGGATGCGGAATTCGTATCGACCAGTCATTGCTGGGATTCAAACCCGGTTCACATTATTTTTATTTCTTTTTGGATCCGTCGTTGAACAGCCGACCCAATTTTCGGGTTTACGACTACTGATGCTCAACTCCATAGCCTTGTAATTTTGAACCAATCCAGAAGACAAGGAAACTCCAGGATCAGTACCCCCAGAGGTATTGATTTGTTATGGGAACATGGTGGACTTTGCGACTCGACAGATTTAACGTGCATCAGTCACTATTTACTGCACGGGAAGTCTTCGGCCGGCGGGGATCGAACCCACGAACTCTTGGACATGGGCCCAGTTGCCAACCAATCAGGTGATCCCGGCCTGGTCCACATTATTTAATTGGTTTCTTGATCAATTCGTCCTCTAGCTGTGAGCCAATCACTACAGTTCCATCAATGTTACTTTTATTTATTGTATATCCCGCTATATATTGAGAATTTTTCTATCGATTCCAAAACTTTTTTGCTCACAGTTATAAAATATGTTTATCCAAAAAATAATACCGGCAAAAATAGTTTTTAAATTATTGTAAGCAATGTAATTTTAATGATTATTCTAACATAATTAAATTTTAAGAGAGAATTAAAAAAAAATGAAAGGAAACGGTCGAATAATAATTAAGTTACAAAATTTCAGAAGTTTTATTTCTCAATATATGTTAAACCAAATATTCTTTTGGCATTCAGTATTTTAAAAATCTGAAGAGAAAATGTCATTTAATACTAATATTTGTGAGGTAGAAAAACGGTTTATCATACTTTAGATGATTTTAATTTAATTAGTACCCGGATGTAAAACGTTCAGAAATGGCGGTATTTATTAAATTCAGAACTTTTTTAAAACGCAATTTCGTACTTTTACCCACACTCTAATAACAAAAGCGAAAGTGTCTGACGTTACTGTAAATATTTCTAAGATTAGTCTTATCTGATTTTAGTCTGATTAAATATATAAAAGAGGCAATGCTTTTTTTTCTGCATTTTTTCCCCTAAAAGCCCCTGCCATCTTGCACTTAGGTTAAATTTTTAATTTGTGTTTTCTTTATATTTTTGTACATAACAAACCTTTATATAGTATTATTAGACAGTGCAATACCTTTCCACAGAAAAAAAGTAAAAGAAAAAACAATGTAAGATTAGAATTAATAGCACTTGATAATTTTTAGAACTTCTCTGAAAGTCTCTTCAAATTTTTAAAGCTATAAAATGGTACGATGTATGGTACCATAATAAGTAACTTAAAACTACACGTTTCTCACTTTTTAAATTTTTAATTTTATTACCTTTTAAACTAATGAAAACAGATTCGGATGACGCTGAAAAATTCTGTTAACGTTAATTGCATAGAAAGAAGATACATTATCCAAACTCTAAAACTAGGCAAATGCATACTGTCAGAGATGATTGTGCTCCGGAAAAAATCCGAATTTCCGGATTTTTCGCCAACCGCGATGCGGAAATCCAAGGTCCAGAAGTTTCAAAAAAACATCGATCACATTTATGTTTAAAAATTCTTGTATATTTTATTTCAAAATATTAGAACTGGAAATTATACTTGGCATCTCTTTCATTTGTAAATATTTTTTCCGGTGGAATAATAAATGTGATTAGAGATCCTTTATAGGAAAGGATAAAAGTAAACTTAAAATAATTATTAATTTAAATTATGCTGCATATTTAGAATTTCAAGTTGTGAAAATATTAATGATTTAAATTTAGAAAGACATTAATTTTGTGAAATTTCGCCATTTATGATTTTACTCAAGAAAATTTCAGGATTTTTTAGTTGGGCTCACGATCACCCCTGTACTGTTTAACTAAAAATTGTTGAATTTCAAAAATTGTTTCCGTGTTGGCTTAATTGGTATCTTGGGAGTTTTATCCTATTTTAGAGGCACTTGGATTTCACCCCCGCCACCCCTCTGAGAAGCTGAATCTTTGATTAATAAGATAGCGAGGTGGACTGATGGACTAAGGGTTACATCCCCTTCGGTTTACAGTTTATTTCCTATAATACTCATTTTTTGCTGTGTTATTCTAAATGCGAACTAGCATTTGAAGTCCACTTTTACTAACAGACAATGGAAGTTATGTTTATTTTTTGAAACACGCTTCATGATCAATCAATATTTATTTTTACAAGCGCTCATATCAAGCCGCATATCTAGCCACGTCTATTTTTTTAAACGCGCATTTTGAGCTGTTTTTATTTTATTCATTTATTTATCTATTTTTCGAAAACACTTATTAAGTTATCTTCATTTTCTTCGACGCTATTTGAGCTATGTTTATTTTTAAGATACTCAAATCAAGCTATGCTCATTTTGATCTATGACCATATTTTATTTTTTAAACCACGTCTCAAGTTATCATTATTTTCTTATACAGGCATTTTGAGCTATGCCTATTTTTTCAAATACGCATATCAACCTATACTCATTTTGATTTACGACTATTTTTTATTTATTTGTTTATTTATTTTTTTCTAAAATGCCTATTAAGTTTTCTTCATTTTCCTGATCACTAATCAGGGGTCTGTCCAGGCCGAATTTACTACCGTTTAGCGGTACCTTCACAAATTCAATTTTATGTAAAACGGTAGTTTCACAAATTCAACTTTAGGAAAAACGGTAGTTTCACGAAATACTTTTTCTGAAAATTTTATTTTTGTATCCCTTAAGAAACGATAAATCTATATTTTTACCATGTTTTTGTATTGATTTTTTAATATAATTTTTAATTTTTCACAAATTATGTCTTAATTTTCACAAAATAGGTACCTTTCAAAAAAACCTAGACAGATCCCTGTTAATTTTAAACTATGCCTCTATTTTCAACTAGAAAAAAAGTATATTTTGCCATGTTTCTTAGTCTAAACAGGCATTTTGAGCAATGCCCATATTTTCAAACACGTATATCAAACTATGTCCATTTTGAAATGCGGGTGTTGAGATACGTTCAAAATTAAAAATTCACTGATAACCTGCTCAATAAAATATCCTTAATGCACCTGATGGAAATAGTTTTCATTCTTATAATTTTTTTCTTTATTTATTTTAATTATACCAAATGCACTAAAAATGCCTTTTATAAAGCGAATCTACAAAAAAAAAATCTTTTTTCATTGCTGTTGTTTTTAAACAAAAAACATAAAACTATATCACTAAAGAAGTGAATACTATAAGTAAAAAAGAAATAAAACAAAACAAAAACCACTTTAATGAATATCGTGAAATTTAATGAGAGCTTTAACGAGTTTCAGTTAGCTGTAGTTTAGACAAAACACGTAGCTTATAGTGCCAGAGTCCTCATCATATAAATACAAAAAACTAGTATAACAATCATTTAATCGTTAGCATTAATCTTGTTGGAACAACCATTCATGTTTACCATGGCATGTACTAATCTCAAAAGTAAATACAAATATCAATTTGTAATTTTGTAAATATATCTTATTTTACGTAAATATTTACGTTGTTTATTTTAGAGCTTATTTTGCGATAATTTTGGAAAAAATTAAGTAAAGTAGTCAGAAGTTAGCGATATATAATTATGCAGGGTCATACCCTCCAACTGCTACGGAATTTCCGTAGTTTCAGAAATCTTCTTTTCAGACGGTAGCAAAATTAATCAATTAATGGCTTAATATTTAAAAAAAAATAATTTTAGCGTAACTTGTCTACTATTACTTATAAAAGTGCAGGCCATATGGCTAGATTCTTAAGTTCTGATAAAAGTTTTATGAGAGATCCATTTGCTTTAAAAATTTCTACTTTGGTTCGCTACCACTAGAAAGAATTATTTTCAAAATCCTCATAAGTTGGAGGGTATGCAGGGTGATTTTACAATCGTGACACAAACTTAGAGGGGTGGTTGAACGTGCTAAAACATGTATTTTTTGTATAGAAATGAAGGATCTAAAAATAACTTGTTAAGTCACGAAAGCAAAAATGAAAAGAGAAGAAAAATGTGTTTATTTGCGAAATCAATATAAAGTGCTTCTTTTCTGCAATTCAGTATTCTATAAATGTTTAAAATTATGCTCTCACCAACAGTAAGTGGTAGCGAAAACTTAGCATCGTAAGAGGTATTGGCAATCACGCTGAAAAATGGCAGGCATTTCGAGCACGTTTGGAGTTGTCGGGAAACTAGATCCTCCAAAGAGTCGACTGGAATCTCATAAATGATGTCCTACAGATGATCCCATAAAAAAGAAATCCAAGCTGGTAAAGCTGGCGAACGTGATGGCCAT